GCACCCACCGAGGGGCTGCCCTGCTCAGGGTCCCCCGGGTCCCCGCGTGTGGTGGCTCCGGAGCAGCGAGGTGGGAGCCCCGTGCTCCACGTCACTATTTAATTAGACGCCCCTGATTAACAAAACTTGGCGTTCGGCTTCCTCCTGCCCTCATCTTTCCTGGCTCCGAATCAATGGCTTTGATATGCTAATTAGGGAGTAATTTAATTTCAAAAGGCCGCAATTAACAAGGGTGTTGTGGACATGCTGTAGTTAAGCGGCGTAATCTAATTTGCATTAGTAACAAGCAGGGACTAATTAGAAGCTTAATTAGACACTTAGACGGCTCTTGTGTTTACTTTCTTAATGAGATGGAGTGGGGTTCCTTTTTTTTTTTTTTTTTTTTTTTAATCTTTTCAAGAGCACAGCGAGGGAAGCCGGGATGGAGCAGCAGCCCCGGTGCCCGGCACGTGCTCTGGGATGGAGCAGCAGCTCCGCTGTCCCAGCACCGGCCTGGCCACCCCCAGCCCACGCTGGGAGGGGTTTTTGTGTTCCTGGAAGCTTGGCAGGGAATGGGAGAGGTGCCAGGCGGGCATTGGTGTCTCTGGGAATGGCTTGTGTGGGGTGGGCACAGATCTCCTGCGGGGTTGGCTCTGGAGGGCAGGGGATGCTCTGGGGGTGACGGATTTTGGAGGGGCAGGTGGGGCTCACCAGGAGCACAGGAACCGACCCATATTGGTGTCCTCACACTCCCATATGCTCTGCAGCTCTCTGAGTGAGCTGATCCGAGCATCCCCGATTTTTGGGGGGGAGCAGAACCTCGCTGTGGCCATCCCTGCCTGGTTTCCACAGAGCAGCAAAGGTTTCTCACTGCCTGCCAGTCCCTGGTGCCCACGAGCGTGGCTGGGCTGGCACCGAGGCAGGTGAGGAGAGCCAGGGGGTGAAGGTGAAGAGCTGGAGCTTGGCTCTTCCCAAAGAAGTTGCTGGGAGCGAGATGAAAGTGGGAGATGAAAGTGCCCAGAGGTGAGATCCCATTAAAGCAGTGCCTGGGCTTAGCCGGTCCCTGGTTCCTTAAATATCTTCTAATTTACAGTAATGCTCCGGATTCGTCTCAGCTCCCCCAGACTTTTATTTTAATCCCCTTTCCACATTTCCATGTGTTTATGTGTTAATTAAAGGGTAAAAAGCCACTCTCGGAGCAATCCCGTGCTGCTGCTTCTTTTCCAGCCGAAGCCTTTTAGGATTAGCAGCCGCTTCCTAAAGCCTGGCGGTGCCGGAGCAGGACGGGCAGGTTGCTCAACTTTCTGTAGCTGGGAGCGGATCCAGTGCCTGGGATCCAGCTTTTCCTGAGTCCTCTTCTCCTTCCAGCTGTGCACAGGAACATCCTGCAGATTTCCGAGGGCTTTTGGGAGGATTTGCTGGGTCCGTGCTCCTTCGGGATCCGCCGGTACCCGGGGGGAGAGGCCGCCTGCTCCCTCTGCATCCTGGCGAGGCTGGAGCTGGGAGAAGGCTCTGGAATTCTGCTTTGGGGCTGGGATGTGCTGGGAAGCCTCTGGAATGTCTCAGTGTGGGTTTGTGTCGTGTCACCTGTGCTGTCCCAGCTCGTGGAGATGTGGCAGGAGAGTTTTCCCAGCGGTGTTTCCCTCGTCCTTCCCTCCTGGGTGATGGTTTAGGAGCTCTTGGAGTTTGTGGCTGGGGAAACTCAGGGCAGGGTCACCCACAGTGGTCAGGGATGGGGAATCGAGGACAGGGACAGCAGGGTGGAGGTGACACTGGGTCTGTGCGTGGCCCAAAATTACGGAGCTGCGGAGGGTTGTGGTGCCGAGGGGTAATGAAAAATAGGGAAAGCTGCTGGAATTGGTGTTGGGGCATTGGTTTCTGAGGAGCTCGTGGTGTGGCTGTGGCTGTTCCAGCAGCTCCTGGGGGCTGGGAAATGCCATTGAATTTCCCGTGGAATCAGGTGGAGCAGTGACATCGCTTCGGACGGGTCTGGATGACCCCAAATTCCTTGGGAGCTTTTTGGAAATCGCTGCTTCATCTGCTCTTGCTGCTCCTAAAACCCCACACCCGTCGCTTTGAGTCCATGGTTTTGGTCAGCTCCATGTTGGCCCTGCCCTTCTGGAAGGCTCCATGGCATGGGACACACTGGGCATTCCCACGGGAATCGCGGCACACGCCGTGGGACCCCGGCGCCTGCTCCAGCCCCTCCCTCCCAGCGAAGCTCCGGGCATCCATCAGCCTGTTAATTGCGCTAATTAGAGAGTGCGGAGGTGTTAATTGGAAAACCCTGGGATGGTGGCTGTTGGCGGGAGGGATGGATGTCAATAAACCGGGATTGATGGCTGGGATGGCGCGTGCTCCGCGCAGGTTAGCGGCGAGTCGGGGGATGTCAAGGAAATGTTGCTGCTCAGATGAAGCAATTGTTAATTAAAAGCCACGGTAATTAATACACCCTCGTTGCCATATGGTCCTGCCGAAGGCAGGGGGATTCGTTGCTCCGTTTGTAATTCTCCGTTTCCTTCCCTTTGTCCTGCGGAAGGTGCGTGGTTGGATGAAAGGGGGGGAACAAAAAAGGCAGAGCGGTGGTTCAGCGGCGGGGCTCGGAGTCTGAAATGGTAATTAATGGTAATTAACGATCCATTTGTGCAGCTTCTGTTGCTGTTGCCGTTGGAGGGGGCTCCTCCCTCCCCTTTTAACCAAGCCCACCCTTTCCCCTGCGTGTGGGGGTTGTTGGGTCTCCCCCAGGCTGTGTGCACCCCGTCCCTGTGCCCGGGGGAAGCTCTGATCCTGCCGAGCCCTCGGGGTGCACGGCCAATCCCGGGAATATCGGCTGGGTGTGAGCTGCCGGGGATGAGCAGCAGGAGCCGGGATGCTGCGGATCCCTCCCGGCTCAGGGCAGGGCTGCACGTGTGCTCCGGCATCCTTCAGCCCAGTCCTGCTCTTCCCAGTCCTCCCGCATCCGTCCTGGCTGGAAAAGTGCTTGTTCCTAATTTAAATCCGCTTTAGAACCTCGCAGACACCGGCTTCGTTTTTATTTCTTTCCCCTTTCCCTTTTTGTTTTTTTTTTTTTTTCTTTAAGGTTTTGTAAAACTTTTTATAGGAATGGAAATATTTCCATTATTATGATGATGACTTTCTTTTATGACTTCCCTCGCAGCGTTGTTGGGATCCCAGACACTCCAGCATCCCAGAGGGGTTTGGGAACGGGAAGTGGAGTTTTACAGGACTTGGAGAGGGAACTCAGCTGGCCTGGTGTCCCCAGCTCCGGGAATCACCCGGGCTGCAGGAATCTGCTCCAGCATCCCGCCTCTGGCAGGGGCTGGAACCACCAGAGCGAGCCCAGGGCTCCTCCACCAGCAGAGATTTCCTCCTAATTCCCAACAGTTAAACTCCAGTTTATGCCCGAAGCCAGGAAAGTTTTATATCCTTTCCAAAACCGTTTTTTTTTCTCTTTTTTTTTTTTTTTTGGCCTTTTTTAATACTTCCTGTTGTAACTCTGGATATTCCTGTTCTCTGTGTAAAAGTCAAATCCCTGCTTGAATCCTGATGAGTTTCTAGCCCTGGTGATGCCGTTCGAGTGTGGGACACGAAGCGTTCCCTGTGGGGCCTCGTGGGTTTCAGAGGGAAAATGGGAATAGGAACAGCAATAATTCCATATTTCCGAACTTGAAATCCTTGAAATTCAAAGTGGGAAAGGAAAAAAAATGTAGTTTTAAGGCAAAAGGTGAGAGGTTTATTCCAGATTTTTTTGCTCCTGTGAGCATCCCATCCTTGGGAAGCTGCTCCAACCACGCCGTGCTCCAAGCAAACCCAAATCCCAATAATCCCCTTAACCTTGAGCTGTCCCACAGCCACCGGTGTGTCACCCCCAGAGCCCTGGGACAGTGGCAGGGAGCCAGGAGCTCCCCTTGGGAATGGATGTCACTCATATCCCCTGCGGAAATGACTTTTGAAATGCAGATAATCTCCAACATGCAAATGAGCAGCTCTCTGCTCCCTGTTTAATATGAATGATCAGCCCCTGAATAGCGATTATTACACGCCACATTTCAGCAATTATGTTGTTCCTGGTTTGTCTCGCTGCCTTTTGGGGTGTGGAAGGGGGAAATAAGGAAAAAAAAAAGAGGGGGGAAAGAGAAAGGGAGGTGGTGTTTTTTCATCCCATCCCACTGGTTTTGTTCCCATCTCGTTACAAACTCGGCGAGCGGCGCTGGGTGAGCGCTGAGCCCGTGCTGCTGGGATGGAGGGAGTGGAATTAAAACTGCTTTTCCATGGAGGGAGTGGAATTAAAACTGCTTTTCCACGGAGGGAAACGTGTGCTGGGAAGGAGGGAGAGGCCCTCACTGCTGGGTGGATTCCCTGCTGCCACTTCTCTGTGTCAGGGCTGGATGTGGCAGAGACCAGAGCTGGGTGTGCTGGTCCTGTTTCCTCCAGCCCAAATCCAGGAGCTTCTCCCAGAAAAAGGCACCCACACCTTCATAACCACCAACCTGCCACTCACCCAAGCCCACTGAGCAAAAAACTGGGAGAAAGGAAGGATTTTCCAACCTGTGAGCTCTCATTTCCACATCCCAGCTCTGCCGTTCCTTTGGGTTTCCTCTACCTGGCACCTTCTGCCAGGTGGTTTTTTCCTGCCTGGTGTTTTTTTCCTGCCTGGTGTTTTTTTCCTGCTGGGAGATGAAGCACTTGGAGGGAATGTTTTGACTTTGTTAGGATTTTCAGGGTGCAGTCTGAGGTGCAGGTTCCCTGTGCTCGGTGTGCAGCCTTGCTGGGGTTTCGGTTGTGCTCCCACCGTGGAATATTTTGGGATTTGGGGAAAACAAATGGATTCCTGGAGCTCTGTGCCTTGCACCAGGCTCAGGCAAAGCTGGAATTGTGGCTTTTCCTAAGGATTGGGTTGCACTTGCTTTACCTAGGGACGTGCGTCGTGTTTGCAGCAGCTTCTCATTAATTTCCCGGGGTGAATTGAACACAGCTAAAAAACCCAAACAGAGTTTTGACATCCCATCCCACTGGGGCCGGGGACAGCCAGGCATCTCAGCCCTCCTTCTCAGGCTCTCCTCTCTCCTCTTTAGGTCCTGCTAGCGAGTCATGATGGTTGAATCAGCCTCGGAGACGATCCGCTCCACGCCCTCGGCGCAGAACGGGGTGAGCAGCCTCAGCAACCAGCCCGATGGAGGAGGGGGTGGCCCCGGGGGTGGCCCCGGGGGCGGCCGGGACGGAGCTGCCGGTGCCGAGGCCAACGGAGAGATGAGCCCCGTGGAGCTCCTGCACTTCCAGCAGCAGCAGGTAGGACGGGGCGGTTCCTCCGGAGCTGCCTCCAACCAGGCAGAAGGGTCCAAGGATGGGGTTTGGGGTCAGCGCCGGGTTCTGAGCCCGTTTTGTCCTCTGGGTTGGGTTCTGCCGGGTTTGGTGGTTCCTGGGTGAGCTGGGGTGTTGGTGCTGCCCCAAAAACCGGGGGTTTGTCCTTGTTGCAGTTCCTTGGGAAGCAGAGCCCATCCATCCCTGCAGTTTGCTGGTTTGGGGGGGAAGGTCCTGCCTGCTCTGCCCCCCAAAAGTCTGAGGGACACCAAAAACCTTTGGAGCAGCTGCTCCATGAGAAGGTTTGGCTGTCCAGGAGCTGCTTTCCCGTTCCCTGGGGCTCCTGGAGGTTGAACCTCACCCACATGGCCGAGGACACGTGTGACAGTGACATGTGTGTGCAGAAACTCAGGGATGTGTCCCCGGCCACACACATCCCTTCTCAGCCCTGGGGCCGTGCCTGCAGTTACCTTTCCAAACAAACTTTGGCAAAAAAACATCAATTTCCCTGCTAGGCTACTAAATAAGGCAATGATCCCTCGCCTCGTACGGAGATCGCCTCCCTGAGCCATAAATTCCAGCGTGAAAGCTGTAAAAAATTGCTGTGTCTGATACTTTAGTAGGGAGTGCTGTAAATCCATTACCTGGATAACAGGCGTTCTGCACGCTGCTAAGCCCCTGTTCCCCGCATCCAAAGGGTAATCATGCGTGTAATGCTGCTGCCAGTGTCCCTCCGAGGAGCTGCCTGCTCTCCCTCCCGGAATTCCAGCGGAGAACGGGAGATCCGTGTTCCCCCGCCCTCTCCCCCCCCGGCCAGAAAGATGCAAATCGTGGCTGTGAAATAGGGGATCTCCTCCAGAAAATCGGGGTTTTTCCATCCTTGGGGATGCTCGCTGGATGCTGATGTTTCATTTCAGTCCCTCGGTGGGAAGGTACATGGGGTTATAAAACAGAGGGTTTGGTGAACTTCCCAAAAATCCAACAAGCGAGTTCACCTGGGGAAGGGGGAGGATCTATGCCGAGGATTATCCATCTTCCTGCTTCAGGGAGCAGGCTGAGCACCAGCTGGGGTCAGGGATAAATGTCCCCACAGCGGCAGTTTTGGACAATTAGGTGCTTGATGGAGGCTTTGCTCCATCCCAAGTGTTCTCCGTGGGTTTTCGGACCGCTGGGCTCTTCCCGTGTGCTCACTCGCTCATCCCAGAATGTCAGCACTCAATCTTGATTCTCGTTGAACTTCATGAAATCTCTCCAGGAAATATTGGGAAGCCTGCAGGGGGTGGGAGCCCATCCTGCTGAGCCTAAAGCCCCGTGTCTGTTGGGATTTTTGTGGGAGCTGCAGCTCCCTGGAGCTCGTGGTCCCATTTTTAGGCTGGGTTTGACCTTTTCCAGTGCCTGTGACCTCGCTGCTTTTACAGGGATGGAGCCAAACAAGCCTTTGCAGGGAATTTTTGGGTTAAAGCTCCTCTCCAGGGGTGCTGTCTCGAGGTGGGTGGGATGTTGAGGCCATGGGGGTGTTTTGGGATGTTCAGGGATGTTGTTTTGGGGTGTCCCCGGAGCAAGGGGACGTGGATGTGTGGCAGCTGAATTGCTGAGACAGGGTCACCCAGCTCTGCTCCACTCTGGAGCACAACATTCAACATTCCCTCCTCTTCTTTTCCTTCTTTCGTTTTCCCCTTCCCCTTTTCCTTCCTTCGTTTTCCCCTTCCCCTTTTCCTTCCTTCGTTTTCCCCTTCCCCTTTTCCTTCCTTCGTTTTCCCCTTCCCCTTTTCCTTCCTTCGTTTTCTCCTTCCCCTTTTCCTTCCTTCGTTTTCTCCTTCCCCTTTTCCTTCCTTCGTTTTCTCCTTCCCCTTTTCCTTCCTTCGTTTTCCCCTCCCTCTTTTCCTCCCTCTTTTCCTCCCTCTTTTCCTCCCTCTTCCCCTTCCCAATCCACACCACTTCCAAGCATCCCAGAGATCCTGGAAGTGGGGAGAGCAGGCAGCACTGGGGTGGGGAAAGAGCATCCCCCTCCCCTTCCTCCCTCCCTCCCTCCCTCCTCCTCCTCCTCCTCCTCCTCCTCTCCTTCCCTCTCCCGCTGGCGCTGGGCTTAAATCCCTGGATTTCAATGCTGGGGCTCCAAATCCTCAAAAGCTCCGGCCCCGCTTTGTGCCGGGGCTGCCGGAGGGGAGAGGTCGCCCGGGGGGCACCGGGGGCAGCCCCCGGCCCGGGACCCCCTCCCCGGAGTTGCTGTGGGAACGTGGAGGGACCCCCAAAGGGATCCGGCAGCCCCCCCTGCCAGGCTGGATCCCCCCGGAATTCCCGGTGGAAGGAGGAAATCAGGGCAGCGGGGGTGCCGGGGGTGGCACAGCCCAGTGCTGGGGGATGCTCTGGGGTTTTAGGGGAGTGCTGCTCTGCCACGATTTGGGGGTTTCCAGGGTTTTTTTTTGCTGAATTCACGCAAAAAATTCCAACTTTTAGCCAGCAGCTGGTGTTTAATGTATGGGGTGCAGAAATGGGGTCAGTGCAGATTTGGGGTACAGAGATGGGGTCAGTGCAGATTTGGGATGCAGAGATGGGGTCAATGAAGTTTTGGGGTGCAGAGATGGGGTCAGTGAAGTTTTGGGGTGCAGAGATGCGGTCAGTGAAATTTTGGGATGCAAAGATGGGGTCAGTGCAGGTTTGGGGTGCAGAGATGGGGTCAGTGCAGTTTTGGGATGCAGAAATGGGGTCAGTGCAGATTTTGGGATGCAGAGATGGGGTCAGTGCAGTTTTGGGATGCAGAAATGGGGTCAGTGCAGATTTTGGGATGCAGAGATGGGGTCAGTGCAGCTTTGGGGTGCAGAGATGGAGTCAGTGCAGCTTTGGGGTGCAGAGATGGAGTCAGTGCAGCTTTGGGGTGCAGAGATGGGGTCAGTGCAGATTTGGGGTGCAGAGATGGGGTCAGTGCAGAGATGGGGTCAGTGTGGATTTGGGGTGCAGAGATGGGGTCAGTGAAGTTTTGGAGTGCAGAGATGGGGTCGATGCAGAGATGGGGTCAGTGCAGATTTGGGATGCAGAGATGGGGTCAGTGCAGATTTTGGGGTGCAGAAATGGGGTCAGTGAAGTTTTGGGGTGCAGAGATGGGGTCAGTGAAGTTTTGGGGTGCAGAGATGGGGTCAGTGCAGATTTTGGGATGCAGAAATGGGGTCAGTGCAGGTTTGGGGTGCAGAAATGGGGTCAGTGCAGATTTTGGGATGCAGAGATGGGGTCAGTGAAGTTTTGGGGTGTACAGAGATGGGGTCAGTGCAGATTTTGGGGTACAGAAATGGGGTCAGTGCAGATTTTGGGATGGAGGAGAAGAATGGGAAGAGCTCCTTGCAGACCCAGCAGGGGCAGCACATGGAGAACCCAAATGTGTCCAAACCGATGGATCAGGGATGTCCTGGGAGAACCGAGGGGACAATCCCCAAATCCATCACCCCCCTGAGCTCCTTCCACCTCGAAATCCATGGAAAAGGAACCCTCCAGAAAAACCCAGCTGCTCTGGTGTTGTTTTACACAAAAAAAAAAAAACCTCCAAAAAATCGCAGCGTGCTGCAGACAGACGTCAAAGAAACGGCGAGGAATAAACAAAAATAAAACTTATTTTGGAGAGGGAGCAAAAACGGGACTTTTTTGGGAGTTGGGGAAGGGCGTGGAGGGGGAGGAGAGACACTTTGCTGCCCTGGGAGAGATACCATTCCATAAAACATGTGATCACATCTCAAATATATTGTGTAATCCTCTATTATTAGGGTATTGAAGATAAAAACGAGGCCAGAGCACTTAAGTGAAACTCATCTCTCTCTTCACTTCCCTGATTCGTATTTAATATTTCACTGAGGGCAAATGCAGGAGCAGTTTTTTCTTTTTTTTTTT